GCAGTTTGCATGTCAAAATAAACCTGTGAATTTTTTTTTTTTTATTTTTAATGGGTCACAGACACTCGTCCATTCTACTTTTATTTAATACTAATTTATTATTCTAATCTTATCAGTTAATGGTTAATGTTCTGATAAAGAGCAGCGGTTGTCGTCAGGAAAATTAACAGAAATGAGCATCCCTAGTAGTATAGTATCCTCACTACAAAGTTTTGAAAAACAACAGTCTGACTAGAATGACATAACAAAACTACATCGCTCCCATTATGCTCAACAAAGCTGTCTACACTGGAAGCATCTGAATCTGCGATGTGACACACGTGAACTCCCTGTGCATATTTTTGTGGGTTGCAGTGCTAGTGAATTTCTTCCCCTCGTCTGTCTAAAATAAATATCATTTGTTTGAATTGAGTGATCATATATTTGTGAACGGGATGCTGTGAGGTACATTTAATTTAAATTGTGTAAATAATTGCAGCCGTCACGTTGTTGTATTTTCTGTCTGTCTGGCATGTCTAGATTTCATTAGATTTTCCTTGTTGGTGAAATCACTAAATGAGCTGATGCGTGCCTCACACCCCCAGAGCCCTGTTTTTTTAGTGGCTGATGTTTGTGTGGCGGTAGGGTGGAATTTTCCAGGCTTTTTGCGGTTGATCTCTGCCCCTCTGAGACTCTCTCACAAACACAAGTGCCACCATACAGTCAAAACATTCTCTCATGCTGTCGTCTAAAAACGCTAGTACTTCTCTCTGTTTCTCCTCTATCATTCCCCTCGTGCCTCCCTTCCTCCCTCTACAGGAAGTAAAATAGTGACGCCACTGGTTTTAAGCTCCTCCAGGCTGTAATTACTCTCTGGTTCCAGTATTCAAAGAGAGCAATTTCCCCCACTGCATCAGGCCGCTGCTCTCTGCCATGTCCAATCAACATCAACGTACATGCGCACAGAGAGCGGAGGAAAATCCGCGCTCATCTGCATGGAGAGAGAGATCATACAGGTGCGCTCCTGTGGAAGAGAGGGAGTGATGGAAGTTCTGATGATAACTGATCATCCTGGCACGTTGTGTTGTTGCATATGTATGTTTGCTGCTGTTTTATCACCGTCTGATTTGTTTACAGTGTGCGTGATGGTGACGAGAGGGACAGTCAGTGCACATGTTCACCTAAGGCATTGTCACGTCTTATGATGATGATGACACATGATGTGGCGTGCGGCACTGCTGCTTCAGTGCACCGTTTTACACGTGTATCCTGTTCAGCATCTCATGAGAGCATTTGGAATGTGTGTTAAGAACTCCAGCGGTTCTGATCTACCTACACAGTCAGAGCTGTCGGATTACACTGTCATTTGTGTTGAAACAATAAGCCGTTAGAGAGAAATGGCATTGTTTTTCTATTTATCCAGGCAGGACATGCTGCCTTTTCCTTAGGTTTGACTAATCGGGAGTCAGTCTTTTGAGTTCCTTTCTGATGATCTTATTGCCCACTGCAAAGTCTTATGAGTAACGACTTCCATTAATTTAGACTGTTGAATCCTGTACAGAATGCAGGAGTCACTCCTGATGGTTGACGGAGTAACATAAGGCTTTTAACAAGACACATGGCAACAGTTTAAGCTGTTAGATAACCAAGCTAATAGTAGCGACTAGAAACAAATTGTCCAAAGTTTTGTTTGTTTGTTTTAAGCCCATTTATACCATGGTATGTCTGAATATGCGATGGGTGTGCATTAAAACCATTTAATGCACAGGTAGTTCCATGTTAGTTTAATCACCGTTCTATATTAATGCGCTACTTTCATTGACCCACACAAACACACACACACATCACTTGCACACAGAGAGAGAGAGATCAGAGATCACGCTGCTCACACACAGAAGCATTCAGGAGCACAGAAACTTGTCAACGCTGCCCTGCGACATTTATTAAAGGGGTGGTTCACTGTTTTTTTTCTAGGCTTGATTGTGTTTATGGGGGGCAGTCTTAACATTTTATTGCTTCGTTTGAAAAAAAAAAACTCATTATTTTTCATATAATTTACCTTTATTTCACACAGCTCTGTCCCTTCTCTGAGAAACGGGCTGATGTTTTCCTGTTTTTATGAAGCCCCGCCCTAAGAAATAGGCGATGGGCTCTGATTGGTTAGCTAGCCCAGTGTGTTGTGATTGGATAAACCGCCTCTAGCTCGCATCTAATCATCCCGCCCCTCACCTCAGCGGCATGTGCTTTGGTTGTATTGTAAACAGCGGCATCGTTAATATTTCTTATCAGTTTGAGCCCGATTGAGAAGCAGAGGATATTATTGAAGAGGATAGTGCAGAACCTGTGCAAGCATGGCTTTTAATGGTAGGCCTATGTTTTTTGTTTGTTGTTGTCTCATACTTTTAGATATGCTGTTATTTGTAAATGCTACTGCTTATGTTAGCTTTTAATATATGGTTTTATCCTGATTAAAGCTTTAATACAGTACAGCAACCGCATGCGCGTCCATGTTTAATGCTTCTCATA